TCTGCATCCATAATGCACAAATGTATACTATAGTGTAGATGAAAAAAAAAACCAAAAAAACCCCTCTACAGTCATCTGTACTACACAATGGCTCAATCACACTAGCATGCAAAAAATGGGACGCGCCTCACTGTGACTAAATTGGTGGTTGTCCAGTGATAGCATTGAATTTTTTCATATTCAGTGCCCAACTTGAAGTAGCTGCAGTGACCAAGTGATTGCTCAAGGGGCTGATCGTGCAGCACTCAACTTGTGGCTGCATGTGATCCAAATGGTCTGACTTATACTGACAGCAGTCACTCTCGGACGACCTAGCAAAGGTTTCCAAATAACTCCCCTTACTGTATTTGGGTTATATTCCTATATAGAAGTTAAAATCCATATGTTAGCAGTTAAATTGCTGTCCTGCAATAACCATGAAAGAGGAATTTCTGTTTCAAATCTATGAAGTACATGCTGGGCTCTGAATATAAGTAGTTAGTGTGAATTTCCGAGTATGCATATGGCAGCAGATTTATCAAAGTTAATCACTCAGTCGATCAGGTTGTAACTGCCAACTTCACCCCATTCAGTTTCAAACTGAAAGCAGACCGTCTCTGTGTTATTGATATTTTATTGCTGTCTTAACACACTAAAGTCCCTTTGGCAACTGACTGCAATTGGTTGCACACCTGGTTCGAAGCATTTCAAGCACCATTTCAAAGGTAACAAGATCAGAAAATCATTGCACACAGTAACAATCATTTTGGTCATGCAGTTGTCTCCTGGACTGTTTTCCCTAATGTGGCTGTAGCATTAGACAAACGTGCAAAACTAAGATGTGTGCCGCACATTTCTCTTCTCACTGCATGGACATAGTCTCTAGTAGCAATACAAAGGATGATAGATGGACAGACGGTAGACTGCCAGCAAAGCATGTTCTGTATAGGTATATACTGCAAATGTATTAATAATCCAACAAAACTTAGCCTTACTTAAAGGAGAAAGGACACTCTTTTGAGGATGCCACATTTTAGATAGAGTAGACAGATGTTTTTAGAGACTAGTAAAGGAGGCCATCTATATCCACTGTGAATTACCATTTTTAAACATAGGTGGTGGCTTATGGCACCAGCTATCAGCCGTGTTGGGGCAATGTTTCATAGAAGTTTCACCTCTCAGCCCCAGCGACAGGAGTAACCCACAACTTGACTCATGTGATGACTCAGATCTATAGGTGTTTAGCAACTCTAAGGAACACCTTGATTGAGACAGCCCCAGTAGGGGTTTAGTACCCGGGACTCTCCACCATTGTTCTAAAACCAAAGAATCCAAAACTAGAATATCAATATGTTTCTGTGAACAGGCAGTATTGTCTGTTTAGAACATAAAAGGTAGATTTGAACTCACAAAACATGCTATTTAGTAAAAACGTGTTAATATGAGAGTTTAAAAAAAGATCGATTTGGCAAAAACTCCAAAATTAACCTGTCCACTATCTTTAACAGTCCCTGGTAAAGAGACAAGGATATAAATCAACAGAAGAAGTTATTTAACGTCTTTCATGATAAAGCTTGTAAAGCCAGATTTAGACTCATCATCCCAATGAAAGATGACATCGTAATTTGAAACTTTAGGAGTGATTATTCAGACTATACAGACTGTGACCAGATATGACTCATATAAAGTCTACTCGCATAACAGACTGATGAGACAGAATAATGCAAGCCAGACCACCTTACAAAAAGGAAATAAACATGGATTAGAAGTCCCCAAAAGAGCTATATAGTTATTTAGAAAAAGAAAAAAAAATCAGTGCTGAGCTGAAAATTTGACTTTATTTTGATGTGGGTATCAGGTCCAAATATAGCTCAAATAGTACCACAGAGTGTAAATATCTAACAGAAAATGGATGTGGCAGGTAGCTTTTAAAAGACAACCATAGCCACAACTACACTACATAAGTGTAGTGAAAGTTAAATAAAGAAGAAGTGGTCCCAGAGTGAGATAAAAAGATGGCTTTTCTGTGATGAATTGCGTAGGCTAGGTTACACCAACATAGCCTCAGCACTAGTCTGCCAGATTACAAAAACACTGACATCATTCATAGTCCATTTGATGTAAGGCTCTCTGTAAACAGACAAATTACACATTTAAGAAAATACACATCAGGATCAAGTGTGATCTTTACTGTGTGTCTGAGGTTCTTAACAAATGACGTTCCAAGACACACTGCAGCAATCATAATATAGCTATAATCTGTCATTTTCCTGAGTAAGTGCTATTACTACTAACATACTTGTGGAAGCACCGTTTCTTTTAAATGGCTCAGTGATTTAACTGCATGCTATCAAGATTTAAGAGTTGACCCAAGATTTGCTCTCCCTCCAGTACATGAGAATATGAGAATTTGTAATTGAAGAGATACTGCCATTGTCGCATGTAACTGGATGTGTGTGAACAACTCGACCTACAACATGAGGTCTAGCAGAGTAAGTCACTTGGTGTTTGTTTTGGAACAATTCTGATATCTTTTTACAAACCCAACAAAAATATGAGCTTTAAAAAAGGGAGTGATAAGAAAAAAAATAAAGGAGCTTTTCATTGGAATAGACTCTCAGATACCCCCTGAGGAATACAGAGCTTTTAGTTCCTCTATCTTGGGATGCAACACACATGAAAATCCCCCACAAAAAATACAGTTTCAAAAGTTACATTTTTTTTTAATCTATGCCATGCAAATCATGGTGTAAACCACAAAGAAGAGCTAACCCCAATGGCAATCTGCAAGAGTAGTTCATGCACTCTTTGAACTCATATGAATAACTGCTGGAAATGTGTGTAATGGGACAAAATCTAAACCACACTCTAGCCAAAACTCCTTCTAAGATCTTAGAGAGAGACGGAGAGGAATGCTGCTGTCAGGCTCACCAAACAGGTCATCTGAGGACATGAACACGCATGTGTGAAGAGAAGGAGCATATGGATGTGTGCTGACTACCTTAATCAATTGACAACACGCACCAAGCTTAACAGTCAATAAAGGAATACAAACAACAATAACAACAACAAAAATCTGATATAAAGCAGATGCATTCATGCAACCCAAATGTATGCACATGCAGAGTAAATGGCATCTTGAACCTATGAGGGAACTGAGTGATGGGATCATAATCAGACTATAAAATGAAGAACTGACCAGCTGGAAACAAGTGGTTTCAGCTGCTGGCTGTGGTGTAACTCCTTCTTTGCTCCAGATTTTGAAATATTATATATTGATGAGTGTATCTGTTTAAAAGTAAAGTGTTGGGGTGCCTAAAAACATAGTACTATTGTAATTGCTTACTGCTTACCATATTGGAAAAAGCAATTACCATACTGACTGCATAGATGGGTTGTTACATTACATTCTTTACCCTGGTTACTGGCATAATGTGTACAGAGAAAGCCTTGTTTTATTGTTTCCTCAGTTTATGATAAAAACAAAATTATGACCAGACTTTATAAGACAACAAAATCTACGACCACGAAAGCCTGAATTTTAGGCTACAGATTATTTTTGACTTTTTTCCTAACAAACCCTGGAAGAAACCAGTAAATCGGCAGTGCTTTCAAACACAATAGCTTTTGTTTATGTGCAGAATGAACTGCTGAGACACCGAAATAAAATCCAAAAAGGCTGGCCCGAGTCACCATTTTATAGCTCTACCAAAAATTACCATGCTTTCATTTTATGCTAGTAGAAAAGTATGCTTGCACATATTTGACTACCCCATAGTGTGCCGTACCTACGGGTGACATCAGATTGTTTGGTAAAAACGTTTTGCAGATGACAGCATGCTTTTTTTGTGCTAGGTTGGCAACCAAAGTGTACAAACCCAGCAGCCATGTGATGCACCATAAGATAAGTTAAAGATGGGTCTGTGACGCACCCATCTCTTAATTGCCTTTAAAAAAAAAGGTAAGTAAACAATCTCCTTTTGATGATCCCAGGAGGGAGTTTGTGTAGCCTCCATTCAGGAAGAAAAGGCCCTCTGAGGCTGTTACATAATCACACCTGTGGTAACAAAATAGTATAACCACCAGATGGAGCGTGAGAAGGCACTTCCTTCCCTAAAGCCTAGCTTCTAGACAAACATGATGAAATAATGAATGTGAAATGGTGGTTGTCTTCAGGCATCCATATGTGGCATGTATCGGTGATACACAGCCAACGCTGCTTTGATCGAGACTCACTTGGATCTCAGAGGAAAGAATAAAGGAACAGGAAGGGCTCTCAGTCCAGTGACAAAGAAGGAAAGAAGGGAGTGGTATGAACAAAGACACGGACACCAAGAGCACAAAAGACATCTTGCTCTGTGTGTGTGTGTGTGTGTGTGTGTGTGTGTGTGTGTGTGTGTGTGTGTGTGTGTGTGTGTGTGTGTGTGTGTGTGTTGTGTGTGTGTGTGTGTGTGTGTGTGGGGCATGTATCTAATTAGTCTATCCTGAAACATACTGTGTTGAAACATAAATGGGACACAAGCTTTTGTTATTTGACACCTTACCTGGTTCATTGATCACATTTACATTATATATGAATGCCAACAGAGAATTTCTCCTCAAAGTCATAATGACCTGCTCCATCCTTTAACCTCTAATCAGACAGTGTAATTGCAAACATAATCCACGAAGTATGAAAATATGAGATATATATATTTTAAAATCTACAGCAAAGATCAGTTAGTGTTTTATAACATCTTTTGAGTTGCTGTCAGTCTGAGAACCCAACCCAAAAGCCTCTGGATTTAGCCTTGCCTGGCAACTGTCAATTTTCAGGACTTTAATCAATTATCAGTTGCTGGCTTTTCAGATATCCTAGATATACTTAGGACTTCCTATTCCATCTGCATTTCCCCCCCCACATATGTCAAGACTGCATTGCAGTGCCTCAAAAACCAGAAAGCTTCCAATACCAAAAATCGTGTCCCTTGCTTACACATTCTGCATATTCATACAGAAATCTTGCTTAAACGTGTTCTTACCTGTCCATCCTGGCCAACATGCACCTGGTGGATTTGGAGATTTCCCTGAAATTCAGAAATGTCATGTCAGTCAGCAGCCCTATGTTTTAATATATAGACTTTGGTTTAACTACTTTAAGAAGCTGAAATCACATTAAGTTAAACAAGTCATTAAACTATCTAAGCCAATCAGATATGCAGTGTGAAAAGGTCAGCATGATAAGTTCCTGCCAGTGTATGTAATTGAGAGGAGGTGAATGGAACATCCATGTATTTTCATTTCTGGATAGAGTTCGACTCCCTGTTAACATAAAAAGAAATCTGTTTGCTCTGACATAAGTGCATGATTGTCTCAGATCGAGATATAGTGGCTATTAGAAAATCTCTAAACACCCACAGTGATATCAACAGGACCATTTTGCAAAAGGATATTATACAAGACACATTTAGCTATCCTCAGGTCTCAGCTGTTTCTGCTCTAGCTAATTTTATCTCATGTATATATGCAATACTGTCTGAGCTACCATATGGCCAGAGAGCAGTGTAATCTCTCAAACAGCTCATTTCCTTTTTAAGCACACTAAAACCAATCCCTTTGATGAAAGGGGCCCGTTCCAAATGAAAACATATTCTGTGAGTGGCAGTTGGGAGAAGTGGGATTTTGTTGCTAAGCTTTGAACTCCAAAAAACAAACAATAGCATGGAATACGAAAGAGAAAAGACAGGGGAAAAAAATCTGGGCTCAGCCACAAAGTGCAGGAAAGGCTTTAGTGTTTTCTGCCTCCAATTTACTCAGTCTCTCTCCTTCAATTGTGCATTTCTTCCTCTAAGTGTCCTCTAGGAGTAGAACCGAATAGGAAATTAGAAAAACACTTGGTTAAGGTGTCAATTGCTTTTGCAAAAATGCCGAGCTGTCAAGCATGTGTGGCCTGAATCATATACAGTATGTGATTACATGTATATATGTGTACACAGACTGGCGCCTTGAAATAAATCTCTCTCCCACATCCTTTAAAATCATTAGCAAAGATGTTGATGCGGAAATTCCTCTTTAAAAGTTGGGGTGGTTTGGAGTTAGAGTTTGATTTCAACTGACAGGCTGTGTGCGCGCATGCAAGGATGTGTGGTGGGGAAAATAAGCCACCTGGGCATTACATGAAAACAAAATTCAAAACCTTGTGCATAATCTGGCAGATAGCATATATAAACAATAAGACATTCACTGAAAAAACTTTACTTTGGCTAAAATTCACTAATGTCTAAAACGTCTAGTGCAACACCAGACAAGCAGCTAGCTGCCAGCTAATTGTGTGAGCAAAACAAACATACAGGTTCTTGATAAACTTGTTTAAATTGCTTTGTAGAAGTAGACTAGTTTAGAGACTACAATAAGCTGCTTGTGAGATTACAAAATTAAACAGCCATTGTAAAATCAATGTAATCAGGACAATTATTCCACACTTATGCTTTCTTATAAGACATTGTATATTATGCTAATCAGCAGTTCTCTTGCCGTAAGAAGTTGGCACTGAACAGATGTAATGTCGTGCAAAAAATTCATTTTTCAAGTATTCCTTTGTTTATAGTTAAACAAATGCAGTGAAAATCATACCAGTCCTACCATTGACTAGCTAAAATGAATAGAAGTGGTTGTTTTTGGTTGTTAATCAAAACAGGAGATTCTTCCAGCTCTAACAAATATTGTGGATAATTTCAGATAGCTCTTTAAACAATTCAAATCACAAACATTAACTAAATTCAAACAATACAAATTAACATTGTGAACTTCCCCCACAATAACATACACAGAATTGATTTTCTACCCCCGAAACTTAACTCTGCTTAAATTTGACTTAACTATAAACAATAAAGAAAGGTAGGTATCAGCAGATGGCTGACTACAACCACTGGCACCATCGTTCTACATAACAGTCATATTCTTTTTAGATACATGTTTAGTGAAGTGAATTTAATAAATCTAGAGAAGTGACTCAGGGTGGTTGTTTATTTTTCTTTTCTATTTTACAACCCCTCTTTCACGGGCGCACTTGCACACTAACCTCACTGTCCTGTGTGATCTGCACCTCCTCTCCTTGTGGTACCTGGGCTATGTGCAACTGCCCCTGTGGAATCTGAGACACACAGATGAAGATGAGGTATAGCTGAAGCTAGAACAATTTCATGAATATGATTTAAAAAAAAAAAAAAAGTTAAAAGGTATGTTTATATAATCTTCATAACCCACAATAACAAAATTGCCCACAGTGGTTAGAAAGTGTTTTTAAGTTAATTCATCCTCTTTGGGTTTTCCCAGTCATCATTACTGTAGAGCAGGGGTGTCGGACTCCAGGCCTCGAGGGCCGGTGTCCTGCAGGTTTTAGATATCAGCCTGGGTCAACACACCTGAATCACATGATTAGTTCATTACCAGTCCTCTGGATAACTTCAAGACATGTTGAGGAGGTAATTTAGCCATTTGAATCAGCTGTGATGGATCAAGGACACATCTAAAACCTGCAGGACACCGGCCCTCGAGGCCTGGAGTGCAACACCTGTGCTGTAGAGTGATAATAAAAAATGTAAAAAAGAAAAAGAAAGAAAAAGAAAAAAAAAGGAAAAAAACAAACAGTTGTGACTAAAGCTTTCAAACCTAATGTTAAAGCTAAAGAAAAATAAGGAATTGACCTTCGATCCAAGATCAAGATCTACTGGAGATCACAGCCCGGGTTTGATTAGTAGTACGAAAGTTGAACAAGCGACGACTTTTAAGTATTTCTGTGTTCACTTACAGTGGGTGTGTGCATGATTTAGCGCTTGCATTTTTTAAGAAGGCTTAGGGTCCATGGAGTGAACAAATGCCTTATGTTACTATTTTATAGGACAATTGTTGAATCTATTATCTGTTACAGCATCTCTACATGGTTTGGCAACCTTTCCATCAAACTCTGACCCAAAATTCAAAATGTGAAAAAAAGGGATGGAAAAAAGGTACGGGGTACCAAACTGTAAGTTAAATAGCTTTAAATTTTCTCTACTGCCATTATTGATCAAATTACTGAATGCTAATAGATGGAATTGTAAATGAGAGTTTGTATGCATCTGCTAGCTTACATGACGCGTTTCCCTGGCTTGTCCAAGGTAAATTTCTCCCAAGGGAGACACAATAAAGGCTAATCTAATGTAATCTAATCAAATTATTTGCTAAACAACTAAGCTGCTCTATTTTGGGAAATATAATTTGATGATGATAAATTACATTGAGTTACTATGGAATGATGGTTGCAATGCTCAATCACTCTTTGCAAGTATTAATTTCTCCTACTGCATTAGGAGTACTAATAAATTTTAGGCTCAACTGTAGTCTTTAATACTCAGATGTAAGGTTGGATGGTCTTCCCTACAGGACTAAGTTATCATATTGAGAAGGTGTTGCAATCCCTCTCTCACTCAACAATGTGAATCCTTGAGACCATTACTTGCACAATCCTACTCAGGCAGGCAAGTAGGGAGAACTCCTGACAATCTTTCTCACCCACCTTTCCCTGAAAGCACTTCCTGCCTGTCTACCCTGTATTTTTTATCATCTATCTGTTCCCTTCCCAGGGAAGTGGTCTGTCACGAGTACTGCCAAAACTATGCATCATGATATAATATATGATATAATGTAGTATGATATAAACCAGAAACAGCAGAAATACTCATCACATTGTATCCACATAGGCTTATCAAACCTGTACAAATGAAGTTTTAACACTAGAAAAAGAAAATATAAATTAGTTCCTTCTTGAATAACCCATCAGGACTCTGAATATATTGACATTGTGACTCTTGGTATCTAACTCTGATCATCTATTCTGGGTGATTTCAGAGCTGAGGGAACTAAAAGATCCAGTCACTTCCTCTATCCGCCTACCTATAACACTGTACTGAGCCTGAACGCAACCTCTGACCATAGCATCTGTTCATGTACATCCCATGAGTCACTGGTTCACTGACATAATTTGCACTATCCTCCAGAATGCTGTAAGGGTAATTGTAGTGGGTGGTGTGACCCATTCTAGTACACTATGAACTCAGCTCTGAGGGCCTCTTAGATAAAGTACACACATGACAAAGAAAAGAACAGAGATATGAGCAGAAAGATTTTCTTCTGTTGTGTTTGCCAATCAATAAAAATGTTTTCTTATGAATTTAAAGAGAGTTGGAAATAAAAAAAAATCTGACACTCACCACCTGAACTTGTCCATCTTCACCAATACGGTGAAACTGGACCTGCTGATTGGCCAATGTATAGTGCAAGGTTTGTTGAGTGGCAGTCTCAATGTGAGCTGTTTCTTCTGTGATTCCTTCCTCTAGATAAGAAAAGCAATAAGATTAGTGATGCACTCATGTACACAGTAAAAACAGGTGAGAAATAGCTTTCAATGGATTCCAGGATACATAACCAAATTCTAATAAGAAATTCTGGATCATCCTAGGCCATCCACAGAATATTACGGTTTTTAAAATGTATCAGACACTTAAATATACATTAAAGACTCCAGAGAATCATCAAACAGATTCATGGTGTAGCAGCCAAACTCAGGGTCTGGGGTTTGTTATCAGAACAGCAGTCTGAAAGCCTGACCAGACCTGGCCATCATCCCACGGAAATGCACAACAGCATCTACAGAGATGTCAAATAGATATCAGTACCCTCATCCAAAGTGGAGCCTGGCCGCAAAATAAAATATCACTTTCTCGTTTTCAATGTTTAAATATAAAGTAATAAAAGACCTATTTACAAGAAGTGACATTAATGAGAAAAGTAGTCGGATTGCTTTTTTTAAGCATGAAAACAAAGAAATTTGCAACATGAGGAAGAACTCCTGCTTGGGAAATTTTGGACTCTATATGATAATTGATTATTAAATATTCCAGTTCTGATTTATGCAAAATGACTAATTTGTGTTTGTGATTTATGTTATTGGATGCATTTGCAACTAATATTTTGCATTGTACATTCTGGGGTGTTTATGGCTCATAAAGGCGGGGCCTGACAACCCACACCTAATTTGTGCTCATGGGTTATTTGGGTTTCCCTGCAGTCTTACATTTCTCTGGACAGAGGTGAGAGGTTTTGACTCACAGGGAGGGAAGGACTGCAGGCATTGTGTGCAGATTACAACCATCTGCAGAAACTGCTTTTGGGTTCCGGTCTTGAAATGGCTTTCATGTAGCTGAAAATAACTAGCTAATAAATAGCTAAAATAAGATGAAGCAAAGTACTCTGTGTCTCTGTGGTTGTTGACTGTTTTCACTCCTGCCAAAAAGCAGTTTTAAAAAAATATGTGGAAATTGATTTAATTCACCCTGTGCTGCAAATAAGGCTATCTATCCCAAACCATTATAATAGTAGTGTTTTTTCAGTTCTCAATTTTGGATTCCCAAATTTGCCTACTAATATTTGCTCCTGCAAAACACTGAAGTGGGATTCATGGTCCTATATAGTCATCCCTTTGCATTGCCCTTAACCAGTGCACTCGCTGGTTGATGGCATTGGCTGTTGTGATGGCAACCCCCAAACCACACGGTGGACATGATTTGGAGCAGTCAAGCTGAAGGGGCTATATGAGGCTTCATTAGTCTTTCGGACTCTAACCACTGCCGACAGGTACCGACAGGCCAAGGAGAGTGTGGCTCTGGCAGCAGCTGAAGCAAAAACTTCAGTAAGAGGGGAGTTTGATGAGGCCATGGAACAAGTCTTTCAGTCGGCCTTGAATTGATTCTGGCAAACCATGAGGTGAGTCAAAAGGAGAAAACACTGCTCTATCGTTCCCTAGGAAAGTCTATGCCAGCGTACTAGAAAGGAGAGTCCATCCGTTAGTCAAACCTTGGATTCAGGAAGAACAAACCAGTTTTCCTCCTGGTCAAAGAACTCTTTATCCTTTGGAGGATATTGGAGGGTGTAAAGGATGCAAAGGAGTCTATAAGTCTATACGAGTTCTGGGTAGTGAACAAAATAACAAGATCACAGATAAAAGTGACAAAAATAAAAGTTCCCCTAAAGAGTGGCTGGCCCAGTGGCCAGCCACTCAGGTTGAGAAGTTCAGTCACTTTGGACAGACTCAGAGTAAAGTACTCTACACACTGAAAGGATAGATCGAAACTCCAGTAGAGGTGGTTTAGGCATGTGATAAGTATGTCTACTCGCTGGAACAATGGGGTGATTACACCTCTTGGCTGGCCTAGGAAAGCCTTGAATGAACTGGAGGAGATGGCTGGGGAGAAGGAGACTGGGCTTCTCTGCTTAGACTGCTACCCCTGGTTGGATGGATGGATGGATATAGAGATGCACTTTGTGCAGTCCTACAAAAAGTCAACATTGCCTGAATGCAATAACGCTAAGAGTAGGTAAAATGGTGATTAGTTAAAAAGCTGGATTGAACAGAAAAGAGAACGGAAGATTCACTTCCAAGAGAAAGACACACAAGAAAATCACAGATTAGAAAAAACAAAACAGAGACGATGTCCCCATTAGGAGTTTGGACACCGTTACAAAATGTAGCCAAGGACCTGCAAAATGTCTAGCATCTACATATTGCCATTCCAGGAACTTGGTGAAAATCCTGAATATTAGCAGGTGCAATTAATTTCAAACATTTTGAAAATAAGGTAGGTGTGCCCAAATGAACTATTTGATGTGATCTAAATAATAGCAACCATATAAAACGTGCCAAGCATCATCCAGAATCTGCATGGAGAATGTGCGTGGAACAAGACACAGAGGGTGGGTTTATTACTCACCAAATAAAAATGCATGCATATTTACAGAGAACAACTGGTTTAGTCCATCTGTTGACCCATCCTCAAACCAAACGTGACCTCATACTTTTGCTCAGACATACTGTGGCCATCACCAGTATTTACAAATCGAGATTGTGTGACTGCAGAGCTCTTTTAAAGATGAATCCAGTGGTTTCACTTTCTGCTCCACTGACACTGACAAACAGAAAACTAGTTTTCTAACTGGCCTATAAATAAAAACAAAGAGTGTGCAACAGATGTCTCCTTCTGCTGCAGTTTACTTTTACAATTTTGCCTCTACTTTGATCAAAGAATAATTACAGAAAACTAGCTAAATTTATCTCCACATTAAGACAAATGAACGTGTACCAGTGATGTTAGAAACATTTATACTTATGTAACAAGCCTCTGGTAAAAAACAAAACAAAAAACAAACAACCTGTACTTTACCTGTGACTGTGTTGCGAGGTGTTCGTTTAGAGAAGCTCTTGACAGCCAGACTCTGACCACGTTGCTTGCGTCTCCAAGCAGTGCGACACTTTGAGTCAATGCTCTGCTTGATCCGGTACCAGTCTGATTCAGTGATGCCAAATTTGTGGAATAAGTGGCCTGTGGGAGCATGAAGAGGTCAATGTTACCTAAGGTTTAAATCAACAACCTAAAATTAGTGAAATATTCCTTACTTCATTTGTCTCGTTCAGTCTCTTTCAGTACTGATGGGAATAAAATATTTTGCTTTTAGCTTTGGTGACTTTCTGTACACTTAAATATTAACACATTCAACTGGTGGCAAGAGCATGAGCAGATTGCTCATTACTTAAGGCTTAATTCTTAACATTTTTAGAAGAATACAGTCATATAGCTTATACTTAAAAAAAACACATTAGGAATTTTTCAGATCCACATGCAGAAAGGGGGGTGGGGGGGTGGGGGGGTTAATAAATACCTAAATAAATAAAATCGCACTTGATCCAAAACATGTAATACTGCAGATTCATCCTGCTGAAACTGTGTGCTCGATGTGAACGGCACACCATATTCATACACATTTTACACATCAGGTGTGTAAAAGCCCCTGATTTGCAATTGGTAGTTATTCTGTAGGTAAGGTAAATTGTCCTTTCTTTTTTGTTGTTCTCCTCTGAATGGGAACCATACATAGAACAAATAATGGCTCATACTTCAGTGACATCACTCTTCCTCATTAGCAAATGAACACACCCTGGAAATCCTCCCTATTTTAGATAACACTTTATATAGCTCAAAATGACTGAGCAAGTCTATAAACTTCTCAGAGAAGTGTTAACAGAGATCAGGGCAGAGGGTCATTTCCCCAAAGACTTTCGTAGAACGGGAGCCACATATATCGCCCCCTGGCAGCCCAAAGATAGAATGCAGGTTTAAGACACTGGGTTTGGTTTGACTTTTTCATTTTCCCAGAAGCAACATTTACCTTTTACACTCTCTTTGGCCTGAACAAATCTACATGTAACTACACACCCATGCTGTTGAGAGGAAATAGAGTCTGATCGGCCAAACTACAAGGCAGCAAAAAGGCATGATGGTGTATGCTGTGGGGATACTTCTTTCTTACCTCAGCACAGCTGGCCAGTCATGGTGTGACTAGGCTGTGATTGTTGGATGTTTTTTGTTTTGCCTTGTCCAGACACTTACAGCAAAAGGTTACCAAGACATCCCTTAGCCAAGTGGACAAGGTGTGGGAGGAGGGGATTTCTGACTATTTGACCATCTTACATGCAGTTCACAAAGAATATTAATTCTGCTTATGTCTACTTGCACCAATGGGGGATACAGTGGGTACATCAGAACTCTGGAGCATAGGTTACAGATAACTGAGACCCTTTTAACACTGTAAGAAGGGCCTATAGTTATATAAATAAATACCCTACCAGTGTAACCCTGACTCCACTTAATCAAGAATCAAAGAGTTTTTTGCACTGAGAGTGACTCCATTAAGATCTTTCTACCAGACATGTGCTTGTCGTTTAGAGTCTGGTATGTTCTGAAATGTGTTGCACATTAATGCATGTGTGCAATGATGAATGGATGTTGTTGTAACCCGTCTTGGGAATACAGAGTGCACTCTATTTTCTGTGTTTTACTCAGTGCTGCTTTGTACGAAATGTGGGACGAAACGTGGAAAGGTCTCAGAGAGTTCATTTATTACTTAAAATCAAAAACTGAAAAAGTCAAACCCTGACAGAGTGAAATTATTAGTATATAAGAAACCATGAGGTAAATAGTAGTTACCAGATGCTCTCTGTGCACTTGACAGGGGCTAACTTTACAAACACTCCCAAAGAACATATTCCAAAGCCCATGGTAGCATGAAGCCCTAAACTCCTAATACTTTCTGAAAATGTATCAGTACCAGCAGCCTACAAATAAAATGTTACGGTATCTCTACATGGTTTGGCAACCTTTCCATCAAACTCTGCATGACAAATAGCATGTCAAGCAGCTTGTCATGGAAGTATGTTCACTACCAGACCTACCACTGCTCTGTCAAAAACAAATAGTCCCCCAAAAATTACCAGTATTAGATGGTTATGTTATCAAGACTCACAGCGGATGCCATAGATCATAAGTGGGTCCAGCTGCTTCTTTCCATGTTTGCCCTGCCCAGAGAGATTTGACATGGCCTGGACCTCACGGTGGAATAGGTAGTCCAGCAGCGTCAGTGCCATTTTCTCTGCTGTGCGACAATTTGTGCTGATATGAAGCATATCAGCTGCAGATATTGGACAGCGAACTCGCATCTCTGGGTTGTTCTCATCTCCTAACCAGGTGCCGGCTGGATAATCATCTAAAGAACAGAGGAGGAACGGCTCTTCAAAGAGTTGCACAGATTGAGAAATATTTTACAGCAACAGCCACTGAGATAATTGATATAATATGACAGCACCCCCATGTGGCAGTAAAAAGGAAGTGAGTGAATTTGTGTAAAACTTAGTATAACTGTTATAAAAAAACAGAATATGTGGTTTGGCTGTTTGGTCACAGTGTATGCTAGCTATTAAGTAAACCACATGACCAATGCATTAGGCATATGGTAACATCTAACTTGTTGACTAACAGAAATTTTTATAATGGTAACCCAAAGTTGCAAATGAATGAATAATAGTTTGCCTTTGAAGGTAACCAAGAAATTCAGATCCAATAAAAATTCTCCAACCAACAAGCACAACAATGGGACAATGTGGACTTCGTTTAAGTTTGCATAGTTAACTATTTTCTCTTGGTTTCAGACAGAAAAACACAGTAATGCAACTCAAGGTATGAATAATGCCTAACAGCATCTGAGGCAGAAAAACAGGGAAATTAACACATCAGCACAGTTTGCCATCTATTTAATATGGAGATTAGCTGAAAGAGTCACGTTAGACACATTAAACAACTAAAAACTGAACAAAACATTCAAAATCAATTACTGAGAGGTCTAAAAATGTCAGGGGGTAATTTACTGCAAGTGACTTTTCCTTAGAGTTGACGCAGATGTTGAGCACTGTGTACTTTTAGTGCATAAGTGTTTTTGCTATTAGTGGGATTGCAGATGTGACATTGTTGAGGCTTGTTGCTGTGAAGTCGCCAAAGATCAGGAAGTCATTTTGAAAGAAAAAAAAAGGCTGAAAAACCCCTAGCTTTTTCCCCCCCTGCCACAATCAGTAATGGTAGTGCTCACCATATGTGACTGTCACTCTCTACTGTAGAAAAATTGTGATACAGACATTTTGAACACATGGCAGAACTAAGTTTGAAAATGAGTAACATGGGCATTAAAAACAACCTATGGCTCTATGTAAGTAATATACTTGTCCTTTTCTAATTTTAAGAAGAAACTAGAGATATGTGCCTTGCTGTGCCTCTTCACCAGCGTGGTCATACCTTCTGCATTGAGTGTGATGAGAGTGACATTTTGGCCTTTCTGTGCATTGCTTGATTGACCACCGTTGGAAACACAATCACTGGCCTCTGAGCCACTCTCCTGTTCCTCTTGACTCTCTTCTGGGCCAGGGACCTTTACTAGGATGGTGTTGTGTCGCCTCCTGGTCACTGTGCTGCAAAGAAACACAATGCATTGACAGATCTTGTTTGGCCAGAAAAAAAGAATAGGTACACTCAGTCCAATCCAATCCAACTTTATTTATATAGCACTTTTAAAAACAACAAAGTTGACCAAAGTGCTTTCCAATAATAAAACAGAGATAGCAGTTAAAAACCATACTTTAAGCATACAATGAAATCAATAAACAAAATAAATATATAATTAAAAAAGATAAAAATAAATCAGTGTATATACTAAATATCACAACATGAGTAGAATAAACAATAAGATATACAATGAATAAGATTAACAAAGTACAAAGATTAAGAATGATCAACAGCTGACTAAAAACTGACTACAAACTGACTCTGATAATACTCCTAGAAAGCCTTTGAAAAAAAGTGTGTCTTTAAAAGTGATTTAAACATTTCAAGTGTTGGGGCCAGCCTGATATGGAGGGGCAGTTTGTTCCATAGTTTGGGGGCCACAACAGCGAAAGCTCGGTCCCCTCGGTGTTTCAGTCTCGACATGGGGACAGTAAGGAGTGACTGGTCAGATGATCTGAGAGATCTTTGTGGAGTGTATTGGTGTAAAAGGTCTGACAGGTAAGACGGAGCCAGGCCATTTAAGACTTTAAAAGCAAGCAATAAAATTTTAAAATGAATTCTAAAATGGACAGGCAACCAGTGTAAGGAGGCAAGAACAGGGGTAATGTGCTCATGTTTGCGTGTCCCTGTCAACAGGCGAGCAGCAGCATTCTGGACCATTTGCAAGCGCGATAGTGAAGCCTGATCAATACCAATATAAAGTCCATTACAATAATCAAGGCGAGTGGTCACAAATGCGTGCAAAACTCTCTCCAAGTCACAAAAAGAAATAAAAGGTTTTACTTTAGAGAGCTGCCTCAACTGAAAAAAGCTTTTTCTCACCACTGTATTTACTTGTTTGTCCATTTTAAGAGCTGTGTCAAATTTTACTCCAAGGTTGGTGACAATTGATTTGACACACGATGTAAGAGGACCCAAGTCAGATGGAGGGACACCAGATCCACTCGGCCCAAATATAATGACCTCAGTCTTCTTTTCATTAAAGTTTAAAAAATTCAAAGCCAGCCATGCTCTGATATCCTTAAGACATTCTAAAATAGGCCTGAGGGGGTTAGGGTCATTGTGTTTCAGCGGTAGATAAATTTGACAATCATCTGCATAAAAATGAAATGAGACTTTATGTTTTTTAATAATATGGCCAAGGGGAAGTAAATAAAGACTAAAAAGAAGGGGCCCAAGGATGGATCCTTGAGGTACACCACATGGGAGGGGGGCAGAAGATGAATGAAATTTACCAAGTGAGACTGAAAAACTTCTATCAGAGAGGTATGACTTAAACCACTCCAAGGCAGTGCCTCTAATTCCAACATGATGTTCTAGACGATAAATCAAAATATTGTGATCGACTGTATCAAAAGCTGCTGTGAGATCCAAAAGCACAAGTAAGACAGACTTCCCAGAGTCAGCAGTTAATAAGATATCATTAAAAACTCTCAAAAGTGCAGTCTCTGTGCTGTGAAGTGCTTTAAAACCAGATTGAAATACCTCAAAAATGTTTTGACTCTCTAAAAAAGTCTGCAGCTGTGAGCACACTTCTTTTTCTAAAATTTTAGAAACAAAAGGAAGCTTTGAAATAGGTCTAAAATTACTCAACAAAGAAGCATCCAAGCCAGGGCGTTTCAGCAGAGGCTGGACCACTGCCTGTTTAAAAATTACAGGTACATGGCCTAAAGTCAGGCTGCTGTTTATAAGCCTTTGAATATAAGGTCCAATAGTGCCCCAAACTTCTTTAAAAAAGCGAGGGGGAAGAACATCACTGGGAGAGCCAGACTTGATTTGGGTGACAATTTTACCCAGTTTAAATAGAGACACTGGTTCAAAATGGCTAAAAATTGCTAAGGGCGTAAGAATAACAGAAGGGTCATAAGAAGGGGGTAAAATATGTGCTCTAATAGATAAAATCTTCTCCACAAAGAAATTTAAAAAAGCTTCACAGGTTTCAGCAGAGGCTTCTATACAGTTGGATTGGGGAGGGTTAAGAACAGAGCTTAAAATACTAAATAAGACACGGGGCTTATGGCAGTTGTCATTAATAACACCTGCAAAATAGGCGGATTTCTGGTTCTTGACAATTTTCTGGTATCTATGCCAGCTATCTCTTAAGATATCATAAGACACTCAGACTATTAGCTCAACTGAAAAATTGTGATAAGGCAGTAACTTGACATAACTTGTGTGGTGGTGTGTTTGGACAGATATAACATACAGTATAATAAGTGTGCCACTCACTTGCTAAGCAGGTTCTCCAGAGGAGTGTCTTCTGGACTTGAGGGCTTCGGCGGTTCACTGCTCACAATAACATTTGTTTGTGGGACAACACTGAGAGCAAAACAAATAGTTTTCATTTTCATTTTCATTTTCATTGAACTTTTAACCTGCCTGACTGACTGGTGGCCAATATGGCACCAACATTTAGAGCTTACCATCGCACTTTGTTCCAAGTCTGAGTGGCCCCTTGAGGGGATCCTGCAACCATAGGAACCTGAATGGGACTTCTGGCACATGGTGCCATGCTATCCAGTTTGCGTGCAAGGTTTTTGCATGCAGCATCCAGAGACTGTAGCTTTGACTCAATTCCCTCCAGCCGCTGGCTGATTGACCCAGTGAATGATACCAACAAGTTCTGAAAAAAATTCAAAGGCAAAATTAAGCTCTACCAACTACATATAAATGTATGACCAGTAAACAGTATATGGTTTATAAAGAGCTGCTACCTTAATAAGAGCGATATCTTGATTGCTATTGTTATTCTCCTGGCCGTTGCTTAATTTCCTTCTTTTCTTCTGAGACCTTTCTTCATCATCTTCATGATTGTCCATCATGTCTGCCATGAATCAAAGGAAAAGACACCCTCAAAACAACACACCAAACCATCCTGTTAGATTTTACTTCAAGAGTGAAGGTGTGCTTCTACACAGGAGAAAAGTACTAACTGTCTGCTTAATCCTAACCTTATATTATAAAAAGAGTCTAATGACCTTTTTTTTTTTTTGCAAAGGAATCTTACCAGTACGATTTTCCTGGTTAAAGTCCTCCACTGTTATTTGCACAATTTCATTCAGCTCTTGTTCAGACATTGTTCACCGCTGAAATGCAGGAAGAACATGTTCAACTTAAAAAGACATTAAAATATTCATTTACTGATATGTTTATATAAATTAAAATATCTTTTTGCTATGTCTGTTTCTATTTACACATTAGCAGTGGGCAATATGATTGTAGGGAATTTCTGTTTTCTTTGTATTACTGTATAGAATAGAATAGTCCTTAATTGTCATTGTACATGTACATCGAAAATATGGGTGCTCCATGCCAACTGCACAGGAATAAAATATAAATAGTAAGACAACAGGAATAAATAGTAAAAAGGAGAGATAAAACAATTAGAGGAATATATACAAATATAAGAGAAAGGCACACATTGGAGAACAGAGTGCTTGGAAGTAGTTTAAAGGAATTGGTCTGAGTATAGAGTCCTTATGTGAGTGGCCTGAGTGATGAGAGTTACTCGGACAATGGTTCAGATTGGTGAGGTGCGGGGGGATCGTTTTTGTTAACAGTCTGAATAGCCCAGGGGAAGAAGCTGTTTGTGAATCCGGAGGTGTGGGACCTGATTCAACTGAGGCACGGACCAGAGGGCAGCAGGTCAAACAGGTTTCTCAGTAGTGGCCCCTGCGTACCAAACATCCAGGCAGTAGGAGGGCACGCTCTCCACTGAAGAGTGGTAGAAGGCCAGCAGCAGGTTCTGGTTCAGGTTATTCTGCCTCAGGACACAGAGAAAGTGCAGCTACTCTTGGGCCTTCTTTACCAGGGCATTTCTGTTGTGGTCCAGGTGAGATCAGTGGACATAAAGTGCTGTGAGGCAACTGTTGTTGTGATATGGTACCATTTTAAATAACACTCAATTGAATTGGATTGAAATTTAATTTAATCTCTTCACAAAAACATACAACTTTTTGCAAATGAAACTCTTTAGTGCCATGTAATAGTGCCGTGCAGAGATAAACCACCATTAGGTATATTAAAAAAATCATGCACAGACACCTGTGGCTGCAGGAAGAATGCTACTGTGTGTGTATTTCCCTTCACTGTAAGCAGCAGTGAAGCTGCCTTTGACATTCTACTCACGTTTTAGGCATAACGACAGCCCTGGGCACCTTCTTCAGTTTGAAGTCTATTTTCTTCTGTTTTGCATGCAAGAGAAGTATCGTGTATTGGACTCTTAAAGTAGCCAAAATGTAGGTAACCACAAAACAGTGGGTGAAGACAATGACCGAGGCCTGCAGCTGCAGCTGCATGCACACTGCTTCCACTAAATACACTAAATAACATGTGTAGCAGAGTGTGAGAAACAATTTAACTAAAGAGGCAGTGTTCTTCTCAAGACTGTTAAAACAGTACTGGAATAAACAACCCACTTTCTAAAGGTTTACGAACTGATGATTAGGTAATAATGCTACATAAATAACAACCATATTCCTTTAGTCTCAAAAGCTGACTTTGTGTTGGCTGCTAAAGAACTACTACCCCTGGCAGAGAAGGAATGCAAAACCAAAAAAAATGATTTGAGCATACAGTGTGCCTCAGCTTTTCAGATCAATCCATCATTTGAAACATTCAGTTACAATTTACTGGCAGTGGTCAACATCCTCAAGTCAAGTATTCATGACAGGATTTCCGAAAAAGGCATTCGTGCCATTTATCTTTTACATGAAGTCTCAAGTTTTCATGACACATACTGTGTTTGTATCTGATGTTCTACAATTTATGCTCAAATACTTGGTTGGGTACGTTTGTGTGTGTGCAGTTAATCATTATTTTTGAAAAAATGTATATAATGTTATTAAAGTATTCGAATACCTTAGCAGTATTCGTGTTGTGTGCACCCCAAGGTTTACTTATGTAATCTCAAAGGTCCTCTTCCATTAAGTGTAGCTTTATATAATAACCACTATGTTATCAATAGTACAACAATAAAGGTTCTCTCCTTCAGTACAAATGTTTGACATGTTTAGTTAAGTTTTATCTTTTCTTGTCCTCACACAGGAACTCCATATTCTTAAACCAAGTACAACTCTGGGCTCTATAACAAAAGATAGATCTCTACAAAAATGCCTGTGTCCTGAGTAACACTCCAAAGTGGCAGTTACTACGACGGAATATTAGGAGCACATTAAAAGAAAAGCAATACTGTTGATCATTTTAATAATAAAGTAGTGGAAACGTGGAGATCATCATTGTTGTGTCAAGACAAACTGCCATATTTTCTATACCCTGTACAAAAATCCTTTGTTTAGATGAATTAGTGAAACAAATTAATTAGCCCTTCTGTGATACAACATACATCCTCTTCATTGGACAAGAGTGGAACCATCAACAACCTTGCATCTGTCCATTACCAGCCATTTAATTTTGTACAAACCCACTCTTCTTAATTTGTGTCTTTGTCTATCTGACCAGATGCATCTTTCTGCAGCATATTTTTGACTTATCACTTTATACTTATCAGGAGATGAGAAATCATATGCTTCCTTGTTACTAAAACCGATTCTGAAGTACGGTTTCCCTAACCCAGAGTCTATGGCAACTGTGGTAGTTTGTTTTGTGTAATCGCCACATATAATTTTTCTCCCCCTTATAATAGTATTTTGACTTTAATCTCAAAATGATCGATAATATTTTTTTCTTAATATGGTCCTAATACTCATACATACTCATACAGTTAGGGTTACACTTTTAATAAGCTACCTTTACACAACAAATATATGACAAAGTAACTCCCACAAAACTGTCAAATTCAGTAACCCAAGAAAGATCTAGCACTTACACACTCCAAACTGATTTATTTTTGCAAGTTGCAGTAGAGTATTTGCAACTTCTGATCCGTGTATCAGTTCACTTGAATACATGTTATAAGTTGTCCTGTTTTGAGCCTTTATGTATTGCCAAATATTGAAAAAGAAAATCCTGTGTAATTCATCGAATTTTAGCTGCTGCTTTTCATTTGTTGCATTGCTTTGTTTGCCTACTTTCAAGGTTTCCTTGGTCTTTGTGTCATAACTGCACAATTGCTTTAGTGATTTGCCTACATTTTGGAAACAAAATGTTGGAGCTGTAATGCAAATGCTAACACCAACACATTTTTAGCGCAGTTGTGGAACAAATTATTAAAAACAAAAGTATTACTCCAGAAATGCACAGCACCTCAAGTAAAATGTGTGAGAGAAGGATCCATCTATTGTAAATACAAGGCTTATATCCTCATAACAGCCACGAATAAACTAACAATCATGTTGTGTGTATGAGAAATGATATCCAGAGTCATGATCTCGCAGCTTTGTCTTCCTGAGTCATTTCCTCGTTTCCCAAACATGGCAAAAAAAAGCATAGATGCATAAGGGAAAATTACAATAATCAAAGTATGACATTTTTATGTGGGCCCGTCTCTACGTAACTAACAAAAGCATGGATTGCAGCTTAAGAGTAATAGTTTGCGCCATTACTTTACATTTAAAAAAAGAATAATAAATGTGTGTTTTGTCCTTAAACTTACACAAAGGAAACTTTGTTACTGAAGACACACACCATTTATGTAAGAGGGTTTATTTGAATGCTATGCCCAACATAAAATGAGCGAAAATCAGTTTTAGAGTAGCTCAACTAAATTAAGCTCTATGTAAAACGGTCTGAAATTGCAAAAAGCTCCTGGCGCTTTTTTTAAAGCAGGCTACCGTTACCTGTGATAGTGGCTAGCTATAAGGAAACGCGGTCGTACACAGCTGTTTCAGACTATTTTCTTTAGACTTTAGCTGCTTAGCCTAGATTACTACAGTTTAGCTTACAAATATAAAGAAATGGCACGGAGCTAGTACACGTCTACTAGCCAAACTAACGAGCTTTAGATTGGTTAGTTAACTGGGCGGGGGTCTGACGATGCTAAACACAGGCGAATAAACGGAGGAAAACTAACTTGGAGCATCTATTTGTTATGTATCTATGTAATGCGACTAGACATACGGTTCAAAACTACTGTACTTCAGATATTTTATTTATTTTTCATTAGTTAATTAGCGTCAGCAGAATCATAACTAGCAGCTAATGTTAGCTGCCGCTACAAAATCGGATTTGAAAGCTTGCATGCTAACTTAAAGGAGACGCTATTTAAGCTAGCGTGGTAGTTAGCATGCTAGTTGGGCCTAAAGGCCTTTGGAGCGTAATGCAAAATTCGTTTAATGCTGAAGCAATCGCTAAATTAAATGTGATTTTGATGCAGCTTCTCTCCTCATTCTCGCACACAACACATGTACCGTGTAAGATTGGGTTATATTACCGTGTGAATGGTGAATTCTCGTGTTGTTTGTAGAGCTTCCGATAATGGCGTCGTTCCTCGCGAGAGATGAGACCTTGCCTTCGTGTGCTTCACACGGAGGTTTCCTCAACGCTCATTCAAGGGAGCTCAGTCTGCAGGAGACCGCTTGTCACCGCTGTAGACGCCACTCACAGACTGCACGATTGCTTCTTTTCAAGCTGTTTTATCTGAATCTGAAAAAAGCCGAGTTCCATTAAATTGTACAGTTTATTCGACTACTCATCATGATACCCCATGAAAATAAAGCACAGTATCTTAATACAACCTCTGTGGCAAGCACCGAGATTGGATAAAGGGATAACATGTTTGTTTAACCCTGTAATTTTTAAACGTCCACAAAACGTTTCTTACATCCATGGTAATCCAACTCCTCAGGATTGTTTGTTATCTTGATTTAATCCTAGTCTTTGTTTGCATCAGTAGATACCTTATACTGTATTTTACTATTTTGGTTTCCCAGTGATTGGAGTAAATGGGTTTATTTTCCTCTACATTGTTTGCCCTTTTGTGTAGATGATTTGGCACAAGAAATTAAGCAGGCCACTAACTATTGTTCACAATGTAGATGACTGATGTTTATTTCTGAGACAGATAATCAGCAAAAATGATAAAATACAACAACAAAAACAAAGAAAATTCAGTTGAAACATTACAAAATTCAAGGTCAGCTGAAGCGCAAGTGTATTTTTATCAAGCGTTTTACATTTACTTGTTTGGTCTTCAGTGTACATATAAAGGTGTTTATTATATTCAAATAAACACGTTAACTATAGAGCAAGAATAATACGTGCAAAATGTTGCAGGATAGAGAAGAATAACTTATACAAACAATATATTTTATTTTATATATTAACATCATGGAATATGCCAATATCTAGTATAGAGCATATTGCTTTGCACTAAAATGTAACTCTCTCAACAACTGTGGTGAAGAGGTGGTGAGTGCTACAAGTAAAAGCAGCAAATGACCAGCAGATGGAGCCACTGGCAGGCTCAGTCCATCTTTCAGCTAGGCAGGGATTTGACACACTGTTTTTAGGCATTTTTCTGTTCCTCTGGGTAATACAAGAATAAGAAAATGCAGCAGATATTAGGTTATTACAATCACTATATTAAGTGTCTATTAACTCTCCACATAGCAGTGGTTGCACTTTTCATCATTAAGAGCTGTATAGGTAGAGCTAGATAGCATTGTTTAAAAGGACTCAGATCTGCAGATGAGGCTCAAGGTTCAGTTCATAGTGCGAATGGTGATGCAGAAGGGCTGTTCCTGGCTGGAATACATGTCTGTAAATAAAAATATTTTTAAAATAACATATTCTTATATGCACACCAGTGTGCTACCATGGGAGAATTTTCTGCCATACATCTCAGAATCAGAAAGGGTTTTATTGCCAAATGTTGAGCAGGTTTACAACATTAGGAAATTGCTGCGGTACTTAGTGCAAACATACTGTCATATAACGCTTAAATAGACATAAAAATAAGAATTAAAAGTGCTAAGTAGATAGATATATACATGAGTGCAGGTGGTGATCAGTGCCAAACATGGAATGATGCAGTGAACACAGCGTAGGGTCATGTGTTAGTGGTGGGAACAGTCATACGGTTATTGTTCATGAGTCCAACAGCAGAGGGGAAGAAACTGTTCTTATGGCGAGAGGTTCTGGTGCGACTGGACCCTCCTGCCTGAGGGGAGCAGGTCAAACAGACTGTGTCCAGGGTGAGAAGGGTCAGCTGTGATCCGAGCTGCACGCCCCAGTGTCCTGGAGGTGTACCGGTCCTGCAGAGATGGAAGTCTGCAGCCAATCACCTTCTCAGCAGAGCGCACAACACGCTGCAGTCTCTGTTTGTCCCTGATAGTGGCTCCAGCGTACCACACGGTGATGGAGGAGGTGAGGATGGACTCGATGATTGCGGTGTCGAATTGCATCATTGTCCGTGTTGGCAGGTTGAATTTCTTCAGCTGCCTCAGGAAGTACATCCTTCCTCCCACTCCCACTTCAGGTCCTGGGTGATGGTGGTACCCAGGAAGTGAAATGAATCCACAGAGGTGATGAGGGTGTCAGTCAGGATGATGGGGGGGGAGTGGGGCTGTGTGCTTCCTGAAGTCCACAATAATCTCCACTGTCTTCTGGGCATTCAGCACCAGGTTGTTGTGGCTGCACCAGGACACCAGACGTTCAACCTCCCTCCTGTAGGCAGACTCATCCCCGTCTGAGATGAGTCCAATAATGGTGGTGTCATCTGCAAACTTGATTAGCTTGACAGACTGATGGGTAGAGGTGCAGCAGTTAGTGTACAGGGAGAAGAGCAGAGGAGAAAGAACACAGCCCTGTGGGGAGCCGGTGCTGATGGTCCGGGAGTCCGAGACATTCTTTCCCAGCCTCACATGCTGCTTCCTGTCCGTCAGGAAGTCAGTGATCCACCGGCAGATGGGATCAGGCACATTCATCTGGGAAAGCTTGCCTTGGGGAAAATCTCCTCTGATATGTCTAAAAAATACTTTCCTCATTCAACCTGGTAAGTTTAGATTCATATGCCTAGAAAAAGGTGTCAGTTTCCAGTGGTCACGATGAAAAATGTTAGATCTTTCATACTGTATACATGGCTCGCTCATTTCCTTTCCCTTTTCTTATTTTATTTTTAAATGTCTACTGTTTGTTTGTTTGTTATTTAATTTCTGGGTTATTTTATGAATATAATCCTTTGTTTGATTCATTGTTCGGGCCTCCTCGATTTTCCTCATCATGTCCTAGTCCATTTAGAGAATGACAACATTTCAGATTGTCATCCAGGGTTAGAAAGAGAACAGGAAACAGATTTAGTGTATGAGCAAGTACTCCTTTGTGTTGCAGTTGTCTCCAGTGATTACTATTATGAGTGTTGCTGCCAGAATGTTTATTGTTTAGCCTTCATTAAATGTGGAGACACTCACCCGTCTTTCTTAGAAAAGACGAGTGTCTTCTCAGCTGTGTCATTTTTTCCCTTTTTTCTTTTTTGGCCTTTCTTGTTTTCGGAGTAATCCTTGGTGGCGATATCTGTTGGGTGTAGGTATTTCAGAGCTCCGGCTGTTGAGGTTTAACCTTTCAAAATGCCTCTAATCCAGCAAGCGCTAGAAGATGGGAATATAAAGCTCAGTTTAGGCAGGATCAGGGGAAGTTTGTAGATTGTGGCCAAAAGGATTAAAATTATACTCGCCTGCATACATCAAGTGGCTAAGTGGCAGATGTCTAGTTAATGGTGTTTTGAATATGGCAGCATCTGAAGGAAGTGTTTGCTGGTATTAGATGAGTCTATATTAGATACAAACTGCAGGAATGATGACTTATGCTGCATTATTCCTAGAAACAAGTGATCAGAAACATCTCAGTCCTTTCTTCTGATTAACCTCGTATTGTGGTTTATCCTTTAGTTTAGCTTTTACTAAATAAATACAGGACTTTTTTTGAAACATGTGTTTTCATTCATAGTTTGACCTCCCTGACATCCCTGAAAGTGAATGGCAGAGAATGGCACCAAAAGGGCACTAGAGATATTATTTTATTAGTGGATATTATCACATGCTGTTCACCATTGTCTTGTTCATGTATATATGAAGACAGCATGACCACCAGTGTTAAACATTTTCTACAAGGGCGGCAATGCAGTTGGTTGTTCCCAAGATAGTGTGAGATGAATATCTGCTTTTAAGGTTATTATGAGAATGAGACCTCTTGAATTCTTGAATTTCTGATCTTAAGCATACTACAGGACATGAATAGAATAGTAATATCTTTAATAATGCTTATGGCAGTTTAGATTCGAGAACCCTCTTTTGAAAACTTTCTTCAGAATTTCTGAATCATTACGATAAAAGCCATTACTCCACAAGGAACAGTTGAATATATTGAAATCAGGTTAAGTACAGATCTTATTTACTTTAAAGTTAATTTTGGAAGGTTTATATAACCACCAACCATAACCTATAAGCAGTATAGATATGGGATAAATAATATAATAAATAATGTAGCCTAATCAACCAATTAATCAATTAAATATTAAAATAAATACCATAAAAGTAGAAAACAATACTTATAACACATGAGATAAAAGTAATGAAGTACCAGTAGAGAGAGAACATCAAAACATAACTGTAATGAGATACTGACCGTGAATGAAGTTACAATTCAATAAATGTGTTATATGCCCTGCCTGTAGCCTAGACTGGTTAGCTCGGCCTCGTCTATTAATACCTCTGTAGCAGACTGGTTCCTGCTATATATTAATGTGAAAAAAGGACAACTATGGAAAACATCCTGACTAAACATTCCCCTTCCACTCAAAAGTGGAAACTGCTTAAGGTGCAAGAAGATTAAAATTTCAGTTTTTGGAATTCAGGGTGGCATTTGATTGGTAAATAATAGAAATTTCTTTTTCCCTCACACAAATGGACGGCTAAATCAAAACTGACACCCCGTGTGAAGATGAAAAGTGCCAGTGAGTGAAAGGAACGTTTGACAGAAAAATGAGTAAAGGACAAAATAACTCAAAAGGCAATCATTGGCGGGGATATGAAGTGAGCTGGGGAAAAGTGAGAAAAGAAATAAAAATAGAAATCTTAGTGATTCGAATCTAACTGGACAGAAATAGTTAATTTTGTATCTTTTTCATTCAGGAGTGTGAACAACACATTGTACATAACTGCTTTACATAAACTAACTCACAGAAAATATTGTGTTTTACAAAACTATAGTAGAATAACAAGCAATCAATGTTAAATTAGCATTAGAAATAGGTCTTGGTTTAGCAATGCCTGTCTTATAAAGATTGCTGTTTGATCCCTAGTTGAGTGCATGTTGCACAGAGAACAAAAACACCTCCCACCTTGACAAATATACAACCTAAAACATAAATGTTAAAATGCAATTATTGGCTAACAGTTTGGATATTATTCTGCAAGGATTCATGCTTATTTTGAATGAAAGCATTTAATAAAGACTAATGTTACTATTTTATATAACAGTAAACTGATCTTTTAGAGGGTGACTTTCTAAGCTTTTCTCCTAACTTAAAAAGGAACCATGTCGCTGCAAACTCCTGCAGCTGTGTGACACGAGCTGATCCGTGACCTTTAAACCCTGTGGTAGTAAGCGGTTACAAAGAGCAT